TGGGCCGTGAGCTCGTCCACCTAAGTAATAAATAAATAAAATGTTTTAAATTCTTTTAACATTTCTTTCTGACGCAACCACTTCTACTTATCTTAACAATAACGTAACTTATGAATAATAATGATCCATTGTTTGCATTCTTACTCAATGTTAACACGTTTTCTAGTACGCTAGGATAACGCGAGGCGCGTGCTTCGAATTTAACTATTAAAACTATTCATTTCTCGACATTTCAACTGAATTTTTACCTTATTCCACTAGCTAATTTTTTTTTCGTTCCTACCTACGCTGAGAGCCTTGAGAGGGTATTTCAGCGTAACCTTAACTAGTCGGTGAGCTCACGGCACTCAAATCTGATGACGTTGCTAACACGAACCCTAGCAAGAGTTGTGCTTTGCAGAATCTACCATCGGATCGGAAACGCGACCCACTGAGAAGATCCGGTGAGAAACTCAGTGGGCTGTGTCTGAGGGTGAATTTACTCGTCGAGCCCTTCGTCGCAAGCGGCGGGTTCGACGAGAACGATGACCGGTGCTTGAGGTACCTATTAGCACCGTTAGTGGATCGGGAGAATCCGAAATGACGTGGCCCACTAGCTAAGATAGACAGGGGATTACACCAGATATGAAACTGTAAACAGTGGGCTGAGAATGAACATTTTTATGGCATGGAGGCTTGACTGTCTCCCTAGCATTGACGTCAACAATCACTGATGACCACTCACCATCAATGCAATGTGCAATGTGCTTTCGTCCAGTTCAAGCCACACTGTTCAAGCCAACAAAAGATGCGAGAGTAAAAAGTGGCAGAATTAAGTTGGATAGTAGGTGACCTCCATGTGTGACCACTTTTCTTCTCTACTTATACGCTGGTAACCTAAGGGGCTATTTCAACTACGTTTTGGCTGGTAGGTAGAAGCCCACGAGGCACAAGCTGTGAGAGCGTGCTAGCACTGGCTCTAGCAAGAGCAGTTTCGTTGAATCTACCATCGGATCGGAATCGCGATCTACTGGGAATATCCGGCGAGATACTCAGTAGGTTGTGTGGTCACAGCATTCACTCTGTGATGTCAATAAGCTCTGAAAAGCCTTTAATTACGACTATTTGAACTTACGAACATATGTTTCACATCCAAAGTCCAATTATTAGTGAAGACAGTAGCTTGAATTAACTCTGATATAGTACATTCGCGAATTTTAGCGGCGTAACAATGTTTTGTTTCTTTAAAAACTTTTGCCATCCGGAATTGCTCTTAGGGTTTGAGCTCACGTTTATTAATATTTGGATACTTTGCAGTTTTCGTGGTCGCCATCGTCCGTGTTACAAAATGTAAATAACAAGTGTAAAAGTATTTTAAATTAATCATAAATTCGTTCGGAAATCACTACATCTTAACGTTTTCAATTAAAAGTTTCATGTTAATATTTCTGACATCTTCGAATATTTTACAGTTTTCGTGGTCGCCGTTGCGTCGTTCATGTAATAAAACATAAATAATAAGTGTAAAGTATTTTAAATTAATTAAAAATTCGTTCGGAAATCACCGCAGCTTAACATTGTCAATAAATAAATAAAAATTTTAATATATCCAACGTTTTCGAATAAATATTTTACAGTGTTTTATTGGTTTCACGGACAAATTAGGCATCCTTTCGATATAATGGCGAGCACGAATTACTTTGGACGCTTTATGTGTGTCTGACCGTAACTATTCAATTTCCAACGCACAACGCTAAATTGCTGGTGATTTGAGCTGATTGATTCAATTCGTGCACGATCGTGTGACATCAGCTCTCAATTGCTTTGATTTATTAGGGTCACGTGGATAATGATAAGATATATAACTACACTAAAATTGCTCGAGGTTTTTGAGATTTTGCTCGGTCCATAGACAGATAATATGCAAATGTTTCTTTTTTTATGATTGAAAGATTACTGGTGGCCCGTAGGCCTTTCCAGTTTCACCAGGACAGGTGGGCGAGCAAAGGCTCAGCCAGGAGGGGTGGGATTTGCTAACAGCTACCCGAGCCCCTCCAAAGGAGATCTAACAACTGAAGAGCAAATGCTTCGCGAATGAATCTTTTTTTTTTAATTGCCTTTGTAGACAGACGAGCACACGGCCCATCTGATGGTGAGTGGTTACCGTCGCCTGTGGACTTCAGCAATGCCAGGGGCAGAGCCAAGCCGCTGCCTACAACTATTACCGGATCAGAATCGAATGTGCAAATGTCTTTCTAGGTCGAAGCCTCAATTATCAAATATTTATATCGAACTTGTAAATGCAATTTAGAATAATCATATCGAGGGGTGAAAAGCTATTTTTTGGTTAAAGCGATATTTCGGTTAATACGCAACATTTATCTTTGTAAATAAAGATGCATATTATTTGGTTTTAACATAAACAATACGATGTTTTTAATTGAACTTCAATTACATTGCCGACATTAATTGTTTATCTTTTTTTGACTGTTGACACTTCGCTTGCTGCTTGTGCTTACGTTCAAAATGGATGTTTTGATTTTTCTTCAATATATTTTACTGGCTTTGTTTTACGGATTTAATCCTCTCTTGAACGACGACTTTGGCTCAGGAGTTAAGGATCACAGCTACATTCGATTATGGATACCGATCAATAACGTTTCACTTATTTGTATAAAAAATTAACCTCAAAACGATTTTTAATTTTTATTTTATTTTGATAATAGTGGCGTGAATTTCAATATATTTTTTAGATATCCAATACATTTAAGAATTTGAAACAGTCAATTTTTATAGTAATATTTGCTGTCCATTTTTGGGCCCAGCACACTATGGAGAGTGGGCATTCCCCTTTCAATTGTATGACCGTCCAAGACCGTTTAAGTCAAATCAACCGTGCCACTAAAGNTTTAATTTTTATTTTATTTTGATAATAGTGGCGTGAATTTCAATATATTTTTTAGATATCCAATACATTTAAGAATTTGAAACAGTCAATTTTTATAGTAATATTTGCTGTCCATTTTTGGGCCCAGCACACTATGGAGAGTGGGCATTCCCCTTTCAATTGTATGACCGTCCAAGACCGTTTAAGTCAAATCAACCGTGCCACTAAAGCTCTAATTTATTAACATACTAAATCAAATTAACCGCTTTTTTTTTCACTTCAAAAAACCGTTCCCGAAATCGAATTAAGGTCCAGTTTCGTTTGGCAAATCGATAAATAGTTCGTAGAGATATAACCCTTAAATCGTTTACTAGCGCGTCTCAGCTGTACTGTATACGCGAGCATACTGCCTTATCTTATCGAGCGAATTGCAAAATATACATTACTAGAACCAGACTTTTGTTCGTATGTTCAAAGGAATTTGTGACGTAACGCTTCAGTACACAAAAACGTTATTTGCTTGTGTCGTGCAGTTATTACGTTTTGGATTAATGTGTCAACGATGTTGACAATATTTTTTTTTTTGTTTGCCTATGTGACCTGTCTGTCGCACTTGTGCGGTAACTACAGCCGGGGGCCATGTTGTTTTTTTTTTCTTTTTCTAAAGTTAATATTAGGGTTGTCAGTCTGAAAAAATATATATTTGGATAGTGTATTTCGTGAATTGTTTGATTCTGTTCATTCAGCAGGGTTGAACATGTAATAACGGTAGCTTTATTATTTATTATTAGCTAAGCTTAGGCTTTATTATTAGTCTTTTAGCCATTATTATTATATTTAGCATCTGTGTTCAGAGCCACAGATATGGAAAATTAAATAAAGTCGCTGGATATGGTTTCTCGGGTTTCTCTAAAAAATCCACCGAAGTCTCAGTAAATAAACAACATTTTACTGAGATTTTATTTCATGTATTAACGAGATGCGTTTCATTAAGTTTTAACCTCACCCCATATATGTATGCACCTATTTATTCATTGAAGATTTTTCTAAACTTGATACTGGCAACATTGGAATAGCAAGACAGCAATTGCCATACTAAAAAAAAGAAAAGAAGAAAGGTGTTCATTATACTTTAGAGAAATCACGTACAGATTGTGTAGTGAGGAGGAGTGAAGTTCGAGGAGTGAAGTTGTGTGATTTGTTTCATTTTGTCTATTTAGTGTTTCTTCAGGTTTAAATGTGTAATAATGGTGGTTTATTAACTGTTTAGTATCTGTGAAAGTGCACAAATGTGGGGAAATGAAACAAAGCGGCTGGATGTAACCACCATTTTACTAAGATTATATTTTATCCCATATCATCTCATTTCATTTAATTTCATCCCAGTTGATTAATGTCTCAAATTAATCATCTTCATTTCATTTCACTCCATATTACCATTTTTCATAAATATAAGAATATAAATTAAAATAAGACATGACTTAAAGGTCTTAGTTACCATGTCATAAAATCCTTTAAAAAAAAATCCGTTGTCTGTAAAGTCGGTTTACTGACGATAGTTGAACGTGACAACGTCATTAGAAAATACTGATGGAATGGTTTCATTTTTCAAAAGAAAATTTTTATTTTATTTGTTTGATAGATATTTTGTATGGACAATTGACACCACATTCACTTTTCACTGAACTTCACACTTGACGAAAACATGTAAATGTATTATTGTATAGCAGCTGTCCACGCGGATGCATCGCTCACTCAAGTAGGAGAGAGACAGATGTCGAACGCTGCCGAACGCGGAGGCCGACTGTGCCTCTTTGTAGCTCGTTGCGCGCTCTTGCTTGCACTTCAAGCCTTAAATGGAACGCCTCAGAGCGAGGTAGCGCCGCATGAGTCATGTTTTCTCGCGCTTGCAGCCGGCTCCGTCGAATTATAAGACGTTGTCACGTCAAAAACATTAATATACTTTGTATTTATTATTATTTGTCTATAGTGTAGCCTTGGCGAAATCTGTGACTATAGAAATCTTTGAAAATAGAACCATAATAATATTCAAACTTATAATTTCAATTAATTATAGTCGTATTTCGATTACTGGGGTACCTATTATAGTATTTGTTAAAATATTTTCACTCACCTCTCGTCGAAGACGGAACAGTTTCCGATGAAGCTGTCGTCCATGACGCTGGAGTCCTCTGGCGCCCTCCCGCCCCCCTCTCCGGCTGGTCCCCCCTCCCCGAGGTCTCCTTCGAAGGACCTCTCCCTGTACTTCTGGTCCCACAATTTCTTCGTCTCGTCTTGTGCTCTTCTCTTTAGCTCCGATATCTTCTCTCTCTCGTTTTCTATCACTTGGCATCCTAAATTTTCAATTATTATTATATTGCAAAATTATAATTATTATGACATTGTTCGTATGTGTACATGTATAGTATATATGTGTGTGTATATATATATTTAAATCGCTTTTAGCGATAAGATCGCCAATTGTACTTTTTTTTGTATTTAATGTTTCGCATTGTTTACTCATTTTGTGTACAATAAGGAATACTATCTCTCTCTCTCTTCTCTCTCTCTCTCTTTAAAGATGTTAATTGCTCATATTCTTACAAGTGAACCGTACATAGTTCTCACATTAGACATATGCATACAGGTAAACAATCCCACGGCTCATCTAGTGTTAAGTGGTTACCGAAGCCAGTGGACATTACAGCGCGAATGCCGTCGCCCAACTTGAGACATGAGGTCCAAATGTCAATGGTACAGTATAATGACCGTCTCATTATACAATCGCAATGAATGAATGTTTCGCCGCAGAGATAGGCAGGACAGTGGTGTCGGTGTTGTCGTCTCGATATGTGTTTTTTTTGTTGCTTAGATGGGTGGACGAGCTCACAGCCCTCCTGGTGCTAAGTGGTTACTGGAGCCCATAGACATCTACAACGTAAATGCGCCACCCACCTTAAGATATGAATTCTAAGGTCTCAGTATAGTTACAACGGCTGCCCCACCCTTCAAACCGAAATGCATTACTACTTCACGGCAGAAATGGGCAGGGTGGTGGTACCTACCCGCGCGGACTCACAAGAGGTCCACCAGTAAGACCAGTAAGTGACCCTCACCTTGCTCCTCGAGCATCTCCAGTCGCTTTCTCTCCACCTCCATGAGGCTGTCCAGGGTCCTCTTGCCCAGGGTGTTCATATCGGCGTCGGTAGGCAGTATGGGCGCGTCCGTCGTCACGCGCGAGATCCTGTCGATGTCGTCCTGCGAGGGCACCCGGCCGCCGTCCGACACGCCGGGCTCGTCGCCGCAGCTCCTCCTGTGCGGCCCCCCAACCCCCCCCGGGGGATGCGCCTTGTCCGGCGACAAGGACTTGGCCTTGACGTACTTGTTGTCATTCGTGACCGGTTTCGCGTTCTTCACGTAACGGTTTTTGGCCTCAACTTCATCCGTCCCGCGGCGTCTACCAAACGAGTCCCTCTTCATGATCTTCCCGAGCGCGGCAAACGTCGGTATTTTTGATGAGGAGCTGCTTTTGACTGGACCAGGCTCCTTTTTGGTCTTCGAGTGCCTTAAACTGTTGAACCGGTCGAAATCGGAGTCTGAGTTCTGGATGTTATGCAGCAGATTCTCGTTGAGGCTCTGCGTCATGACGTCGGCCCGGACGTCTGGAGGGCGGATTTTCTTTTTCCGCTTCAGCGAATCGAAGTTCCTTTCCCAAAATCCTTTCTTCTCTTTCGAAGAAGTGGAAGACTTAGACGGACTTTCGCTGTCGGAGTTGCGCGGGGAGGACCGGGCGGGGTCCGTGAGGGGGGCGCTGTGAGGGGACCGCCTGCCCCCCGCGCCCCTCAGCGTCCTCATCTCCCCCTCTACGACCTGCAGCCTGGCCGTAAGCTCCTCAACTTGGGTGAGGAGCTTGACGTACTCCGAGTGGAGAACCTTGGTCTCGTCCAAGGCCGACGTCATGTTGCTATTGGCTTCGGATTTTAAAGTCAAGATGCGCGTTTTCTGAGCGTCAATTTTCTTCGTCAGAACGTTTATTTCGTTCTGAATGTCTTCTTTATTCGACAGCCTGAATGGAAAATTATGTTTCAATTAGAGTTTTAGTACGAGACGTAATTAGTGTTTTAAGTGAAGTAGTTAATACTAGATTTATTGGTTTAATTTCACATATATTATAGAATTTTTATTATTTCCTATATTCCGAAAAAATCTACAGTCTTCGCGGTTACATATTTGGATATTGTTGACGTTATGATAAGTATTAAGCGTGGACTGTATATTGTTTATGAAATATTTATTTAAACTTCTTAATATAATTATTAAAGACTTAATATAAGGAAACATAAAAATGCGTTGCTCTTGGAGGTTGGATTTGAAAGAGAAAAAGTGTCATGGCGGACGTCGATCGCTGATATTTTGACGTTCAGAAACTGAACTACCGTCATATTTTTTTAAAACTTTTTTCAATCTAATGTTCAACAAAATTTATTGTTCTTTATAAAGAGTAGTTTTCATAATGTCTTGGGCTTCGTACCTAGCTAGTGGTGGGCGGTTATGAGAGTCCATAGACATCAATCACAGACACCGTTGCATCGCTACATACGAATGCACCGGACGTCTTATCCTTTAGGCCACGACGACTTTAAAATTAACGGTAATCCTCACAGTTCAGACTCCTCCTCCAGATGTTGAAACTCCAGATCCTCGAATATCTTCGTTTCGTTGTCCAATATGTCCTGGGCGTTCTGAAGTTCCTCCACCGTGGCCGCGTTGTGCTTCAAGTCTTTCTCGATGCTGCGAACAAGTGTTAGTTACAGATCATATGGCGTTCAACGTTATTATGAAGTTTTGCAAGAAAATTTCCAACTATTTCCAAATTTTAAACCGATAGCCCTGAAGATCGTATGAGCTTTAGTAAATTTTTTCCCCGGCTAGTATATAATAATAGCTTTACCCAAACGTCCGCTTCGCTGGGCATTTAAAATTAACATTATTATGTGTTCCGTTTGACGTCCGAAGTCCATTATGAGAGTACATCGTATGATTTCCACTGCAGGTCGCTAAATTTGACTACTTCCGTTTCCTAAGTCCCACCTACAGCGCCCTCTATAACGTCTGGAACCGAACCAACAAGCAAAGACAAGCCGCCATATTTGTCATTTGTTGCGTCGTTTTTTCCCACGTGCAGTCGTTAATATTTTAAGAAGTTAGTAATTTAAAATGTTATAAGCAACTTTCGAGATTTGAAGTAGAAAGTTTGTTTCAAACAAGTGTTATGATTATCTTCCGTTTCGTGAAACCTCCAAGGCTCTACAATGAGTGACGAGGTTATCGCGCCTTTTCAAAGTAAAATTTAAGTGAGGATAGTTCTTCGATTTCTTCGGATATTTCTTCGGATTCGTCGGAAAATAAAGACGAGGGACCAGCAAGAAAACTTAGAAAGCGTGACTGGTCGCGAGATCTGAATAAAAGGTTTGACTTACTGTCGCAATAATGGATGAGTCATGTGAATAATATTTTAACTTCGAATCATGCTATTGCTGGTCGTGCACCAGCCTTTACACTTACAAATACCAACATCTTATAATAATAATAATGTCTGATGTGGTTTCAACTTCCAATCGAAATTAGACAACGACGAATCGTTTTTACGTCCGCCACCAGACCGTCCGTTACCAGAAGCGGGTAGGTTTTGAAATTTGTGCGTTTCTATAAAAGAACCAGATATGCAAAGATTTGACTAGCCGACTTGGAACGGTGCAGTAATCAGAGGTTCAAAAAGTTTTCCTGCGTTATCTAATGCTCTTTTGGCACAGAACGAATGCGTTATGCTGCCATACAAAACCTTGCCGACTGGTCAAATTCAGAGAATGTTCAGCTTAATACTTCCGCCATTTACGAAAAGTCTAAACCGCTATTCGGTAACGATTTCGCCTATAAAAGTTTCTAACGATATCCTTCAAATAATTTTCGGTAAGCGAGCCGAGGCTATACGATAGCGTCGTAGATATTTCATAAAGAAATTAAAGGGTAGATATATCAGGGAAGATATAGAGAAAATATCTTCTTCTTGTGATTATATGTTTAACCCCAACTTATTATTGGCATATATACAGAAAATTGGAGGTATTGATAAATTACAAAAGCGGCACCATCTGCTACTCGCATCCGGCCCGCATCGCCGGAACCCTCGGCTTGTACTGCCAATGCAAAGCCATGTCGAGCTAGGCCAAATTCCAATACATCTAAAGAGGCCGAAAACCGATATTCTGAGCGATGTTATCCAAATAATTCCTCAGCAAGAAAAACGGGGGAGGGGGGAACAAGTACAAAGTGGAACGAAAATCAGGAAATAAAAATAAATTACTCAACAGCATTTTCAGGCGGATGTCTAAGACTATATCGAAACACCTGGACTCGATCCACCAAACGTAATATTGAAATTAATAATAACTTGATGTCAATCAAAATCCAAAATTTAATTCAATAGAGTTTTAGAACCCGCACCCCCGGCACCGTCTTTCATATTTCCTCTTTTCATACTTCCCAAGACCAATAAAAAATCGAACAATTTTCAACCTCAAGGCATTGAACAAGTACATGAAACAGTCGTTTTCACCTTTTCCACCATCAACGAGTTCCTAAGTTTTATAACAGATTGGAATGTCAAACTGGATTTGAGCCAGGCCTATTATCATCTATCAATGAGGTTTCTCGGGATCAGTTATCAGGGTCGTCTACTTCAGATGATATGTCTGCCATTCGGCTTAGCTGCAACACCGCGGATTTTTGCTTCAGTGACAAACTGAATAGCCGAAATACTTCGCCAGAAGGGTCTGCGACTAGTGGTTATCTGCTTGTACACCAAGGCAGAACACCTCTCGCCATCGGAGCAAAGCTCATCCATATTATCTGGAACCGCTGCGTTCATTGACAGTGCGTTTCCAGAGGTCTTTTTTGCCACGTACCATCTGGCTATGGAATGAGCTCCCTCCACGGTGTTTCCCGAGCGCTATGACATGTCCTTCTTCAAACGAGGCTTGTGGAGAGAATTAAGCAGTAGGCAGCGGCTTGGCTCTGCCCCTGGCGTTGCTGAAGTCCATGGGTGACTGTAACTATTCACCTTCAGGTGGGCCGTATGCTCGTCTGCCTACATGGGCAAAATACTTGTTGAAATCTCAAGTAACTATACTGAGACCTTAGAACTCATATCTCAAGGTGGGTGGCGGCATTTACGCTGTAATGTCTATGACTTCAGAAACCACTTAACACCAGGTAAGCTGTGAACTCGTCCACCCATCTAAGCAACCGGTTATGACACTGACGAGCTTGATAGACTTTCTGGGAATCGTATGGGACACCAAATCCAAGACAAAGTCCCTGCCCAAGAATTTGCTCGTGCGATTTGCTGCCGGCGGTTGGAACCTAAAGCAGGCGCAGCCTCTTAGGATATCTCAACTTTGCGACTTTCATCACCCACCGGGGAAAGTTGCTTTGCCGAGTCCTTGCAGTACCACAGCAACGAGCTCAAGAGGTATCCTCATTTACCAAAGCAGTATTCGGACGAGGTACGTATAGAGCTGGATTGATGGTTAGAGAAAGTCAGTCAGAGCACACCAATTCATCCACAGAGAATGGCCACGAACCACGTCATCACCGACGCGTCGGACATTCAGTGGGGAGCCCTTGTAAACAACAGAACAGAATTTTCCTACATAAAGAACGAGGGAGGAACCCGGTCACGATAATTGCTAGATCTGACTGGAAAATTGATTAATTTAATAGACCACCTCAAAGTTGTACTTCTCCCTCACCACCTACCGGGACTGTACAACACTGAAGCCGGCCACCTCTTACGCAATCGCGGCGGCTTGGAGTGGTATCTCACAGAAAAAGCAACCACTAGGCTATTCAGCCGGTGGGGAACTTGTTCGCGTCTCGGACCGCTCATGGGTAACAAACTATGTTGCTCGTGGTAGGACCTCTTGTGAGTCCGCGCGAGTAGGTATTTTGCTCTGAAGCAGTAGTGCGTCTCTGAAGGGTGGGACAGCCGTTGTAACTATACTTGAGACCTTAGATCTTATATCTCAAGGTGGGTGGCGCATTTACGTTCTAGACGTCTATGGGCTCCAGTGACCACTTAATACCAGGTGAGCTGTGAGCTCGTCCACCCATCAAAGCAAAACTCGAACGCCTGCCTCTACAACGCGTTCAGCAGATCTTTGCATTACTGACTAGCATGGCCCTTTCCGACGCTCAGTCTGATATCCAGAGTGCTGGACCACCTCAACTCAACCTCAGGTCGGTACATACTAGTGGTACCCGAGTGCAAGAAGCCCCCGTGGAGGCCAGACCTAAAATCACCTGCCCTCAAGCGACTCAAGAAGCTCAGAGATCTGAACACCAGTCTGGTGGACACTGACAATGCTACCGCCAGGCTAAGTCAGCAATCTACACCTGGAAGCTTGGCTCATTTTGGGTGGGACACGCTGACAGGGACATGGACATCGGCAGGAGAGAAACTTACTATTATCGTGCTGGAGAGAGTCTACGATAAGAATATACGCCCCTATTTGGAATAAGGGGTAAGGTTTTGTATTAATTCTCGTGTACCCGAATTAGCAAATGTAGCTAGATTTCTCTGTTATCTGTATTTATCTCATGGTCTCTACTACAGGACCATTCTAGTTTATAAGTCTGTTATATAGCGTCCGTTTGTGAAACTATATCGGATATAAAAATAGCTTCGAGCCCGACAGTGAAACATACTGAAATCTATTTCCTTGACAAAGCCTGCACCTTCTAAATTAACCGATATTTGGGTCGAAAACTAATTGATCTTCACACCAACAGTCCAGTTGGACATTCGTGGCTGCTCCTGACCAATCGATCATCGATGCAGTATACTGGCTACGNGCCCGACAGTGAAACATACTGAAATCTATTTCCTTGACAAAGCCTGCACCTTCTAAATTAACCGATATTTGGGTCGAAAACTAATTGATCTTCACACCAACAGTCCAGTTGGACATTCGTGGCTGCTCCTGACCAATCGATCATCGATGCAGTATACTGGCTACGCAATCTAGTGAATATGACACAGCAAACCAGTGGGGATATTAGTAGTCTATTCTTAGCAACTAAAGGCTCCACTATGCCAGCTACTGCAGCGAGGATTAGTAGTTGGCCAAAAGTCTTTTAGGAGACTCAGGTATTCAGGCCTCAGTTGGAAGCTGTAGAGCGCTGGTGAAAACTTTAAACTGGGTAGGAAATTACCAAATTAATGATATTTTAGCTAAAACTGACATGAGCATACTTTTAGAAAGTTCTATCCAAAACTTATTAATGCATCAAACACTGACATAAATTCTGAGAAATCTTTCTCAGTATTTTCGTCCTAAATCTTATTAGGTCGATTTGAATTAAGTGGGTAATATTATACGGTTACCTTCAATTAATTTAAATTATGTGCTTAATTTAAGCTTTGCTTAATTAAACATAATAAGTCACATTGTTGCTTTTTAAATAAATATAATTTTATTTCAATTACAAGCCACCAGGAGATAACAAACAGTCTCTCATAATGGACTTCGGACGTCAAACGGAACACATAATATAGAAATTTTACCTTCCAATAAAATTTGTATTATGTTTCCTAAGACTTCCGAAGTCCAGATAATGTCTTCCTGGGGCTACATCCATCATTATGAGCCGAACAATGACAAATATGGCGGCTTGTCTTTGCTTGTTGGTTCGGTTCCAGATGTTATAGAGGGCGCTGTAGGTGGGACTTAGGAAACGGAAGTAGTCAAATTTAGCGACCTGCAGTGGAAATCATACGATGTACTCTCATAATGGACTTCGGACGTCTTAGGAAACATAATACAAATTTTATTGGAAGGTAAAATTTCTATATTATTTCTCACCCCCACAAAGATTCTCATCATTAACGCCCCCGCAACTGGTGTAGGGAGTCCAACACTCATATAAATATTAGCCTATCCATTATGTACATGTATTTTCTGCTTGGATACCAAGTTTCAAGTCAATCGGATGCATGGTTATAACGGAACATCCGTAAAAACCACTGTAGATTTATATATTAGTATAAGTGTAGTGCCTCGAAGTTTATTCTTTATTACTTATAAGTTTAAAGCACATACTTGCTTACAGTCAAGAGCAGCACTTACTTCTCGATCTTCATGGTGGCGATCTCGACCCTGTCTCTCAGCTCAGTCTGCCTCGCCTCCTGCTTCTCCTTCAGCAGCCGAATGTCCTCTTCGATCCTTGTTGCCTTCTCAACTAACTCGGTCCTCTTCTTCTGTTCGATGTTCAAGATCGCGATCTCCGAATCGTATTCCCCTTTTATTAACGCCTTCTCCATTTCCAGCTGCGGAATTAATTTGAAGTCGTCAGTGGTGTTTGGAGGATATGAGAAGCCGTCCACGGAAATACATTTGACAACCTGATGTGAAATGTAAAGTGGTTTAAGATGCGGCCACCTTGGGACATGTGGTCAAAAATCTCAAAAACCGCAATGACTTCCAAAACGACGATGCTTTTCCTTCGCCGTGGAAGTATTACGTGAACTTACGCTAAATACGTATTACATTATAAAAAAAAAAGTAGCTGTTTGTGAGATTCGAACCCTAACACAGTCACATCTCTTGATACGAATGCACCGACCGTCTTATCCGTTAGACCACGACGAATCCAAATGTCCTTATAACCACAAAACGTGTTTACTGCTGGTAGGTCCTCTTGGAAGTCCGCGCGGGTAGGGACCACCGCCCCACCTATTTCTGCCGTGAAGCAGTAATGCGTTTCGGTTTGAAGGGTGGGGCAGCCGTTGTAACTATACTTGAGACCTAAGAAGTTATATCTCAAGGTGGGTGACGCATTTACGTTGTAAATGTCTATGGGCTTCAGTAACCACTTAACACCAGGTGGGCCGTGAACTCGTCTACCCATCTAAGCAATAAAAAAGAAAAAGAAAAAACTTTAAAAATCGGAACCTAATTCAAAATTGAGCACTTACCTCTCGCAGTACGTCGTCCTCTTGAGACCTGATCTCCGCCATCTTCATCTTAAGATCTTGAATTTCTGTGACCAACTTCTTTCTCTCCTCCTTCAACCTCTCATATTTAGCTTTGAGTTCATCTGCATTATCATCTAAACCCGTTCCATCAATAGAGTCCGCATCTGCGTCTATCTTCTTAAAATCTTCACTAATATTCTTAATTATTATATCGTCCCTTTTGTTTCTTTTCAAATCCTTTTCGAATTCCTCCAGCTCCGGTATATCGGCCATTAACTCCTTTTTGACGTCATCGAAACTCTTGTTCTTAACCAGAGTCGTTTTTTCTTCTCCTGTCTGCTCTAAATCTTCAAGTTTCGTTTCGTTTGTTTCTATAGTCCTTGAATATCTAAATTCTATGTCGTTGGGTTGAGCTGCATCGTCGATCATAGGTATCTCTTCTTCGAGACTAAGCTGCTTTTCTATCCCGACTGCACTGGTTAAACGTTCGAAGTCATTGTCTACTGTCGCCGTTTCATGGTTGACAACGTTATTAGCATTGCTGATAGGACTCTGCCTGTCCAGTTCTGATTTGTTAGGGCTGTCGGCGGGCGGCGGAGCGGGAAACACGAAATATTGAGGCGAATTCAAATTTTTATGCGCGAAACTGGTCTTTATTTTCGTTCTGGGACTCTGCGTCGTCGGGGATTTGGGGTTTAAGTTGTACATATTGTTTCGCAGGTACATATTCTCGTATGGGCTCCCGACGGGCGAGGCAGCGGGTGGTTTGCCGCTGTTTTGGTTTCTCCTCATTGTTATCGGACTAGAGACGCGCTCGTCATCGACGGGAATGCCTATCTCGTCCATGCGACCTATGTTCCCGTAGTTCCGCGATATCGTGACCTCGGGCGTCCGTTGCTCGGGTTGCGGTGCGGGGGACGCGGGATCGTAATTCTCATAGCTGGATAAGTTCCTTTGAATTTGTTGCGGTTTGTTCGAGGACGCGTTTCGACTTTGACTAGTTTCGAACCTGGAAGCGTGTTTGGATCAAAATAGGTCAGTTTTTTCGCGCACATCTACAACATTATACCGGCCAATATTATTGTCAATTAGTTTTTGTATATGTGTATAAGTGATAAGTATAAGTGCGTGTTGTGATTATATTAATTTAGGGTGTGTTATAAAATTGACTTGACCAATACAACTGATTAGATTTCGCCATGGTTTATCTTGCTTGCACTGCTCCGTCAGATCCGTTTTTAAATATTATATCGAGGGTTGAAAGGCTTTAAGCGTCATCTTTGCAACTTTTCAGGAAGTTTAAAATTTGGGAAAAAAAATCTTAACAAAAAAAAAACTTCTTCAGCTATTTGTATGGGGTAAACTTAATTGCAATTCAATTAATAACATCGAACTGTTGATGCTAATACTAAATAAAACGGACCTTTAATTACAAAGTTAAATGTCGCGTATTAAGCGAAATGTCGCGCTTCACCCTTCGATATATCGAGCAGTAAGCTGCAAGTGGCTGACGGCCTATACAGCGGGCCACTTTTTTGCTCTTTTTTTAATAGCCCTTGTAGGCAGACGAGCATGCGGCCCACCTGATGGTGAGTGGTTACCGTCGCCCATGGACTTCAGCAATGCCAGAGGCAGAGCCAAGCCACTGCCTACCGCTCAATACTCTCCACAAATCTTGTTTGAAGAAGGACAAGTCATAGCGCTCGGGAAACACCGTGGAGGGGAGCTCATTCCATAGCCGGATGGTACGTGGCAAAAAAGACCTTTGGAAACGCACTGTCGATGAACGCAGCAGTTCCAGATAATATGGATGAACTCTGCTCCGATGGCGGGAGGTGCGATGATAAAAAGGAGATGAGGGGATCATCTCAAACAATTCCTCAGACTGGAACAGTAAGCTGCAAGTGGCTGAAGGCCTATACAGTGGGCCACTTTTTTTACTTTTATTAATAGCCCTTGTAGGCAGACGAGCATACGACCCGCCTGATGGTCAGTGGTTACCGTCGCCCTTCTTCTTATCAGCCTACAGACGTCTACTGCTGGACATAGGTCTCTTGCAAGCCTCGCCACAAAGATCGATCCTGCGCTGCTCTTCGATAGATCGTCGGTCCATCTTGTGGGAGGCCTACCCACGCTACGTCGCCCTTGGACGTCTGCAATGCCAGTTGCAGAGCCAAGCCGCTGCCTTCAAACTTCACCCAAGCCCCACTCACTTGTAATATCCGTCGTTGGTCTGCACGAAGTTGGGATTGTTGAGGGTGACGCTCCGCGGCAGAGAGCCATTCGTGATGATCTTGTTGTGCGGCCTCTTCTCGGTCGGGGTTATGGGAACACCTGCATGGTACATCGTCGAGGGTTATTCAGGCGTGCAGAGTGTAACGTGTATGCTATTTACTGGCGGTAGGAGCTCTTGTGAGTCCGCACGGGTAGGTACCACCGCCCTGCCTATTTCTGCCGTGAANTTGAGGGTGACGCTCCGCGGCAGAGAGCCATTCGTGATGATCTTGTTGTGCGGCCTCTTCTCGGTCGGGGTTATGGGAACACCTGCATGGTACATCGTCGAGGGTTATTCAGGCGTGCAGAGTGTAACGTGTATGCTATTTACTGGCGGTAGGAGCTCTTGTGAGTCCGCACGGGTAGGTACCACCGCCCTGCCTATTTCTGCCGTGAAGCAGTAATGCGTTTCGGCTTGAAGGGCAGGGCAGCCGTTGTAACTATACTGAGACCTTAGAACTGACATCTCAAGGCGGGTGGCGCATTTACGTTGTAGATGTCTATGGGCTCCAGTAACCACATAACAGGTGGGCTGCGTTAACCCATCTAAGCAATAAAAAAAATCTTAGGTCCTGCTCCACCATTCAAGCTGAAACGCATTACTGCTTCACGGCTGAAATAGGCAGGGCGGTGGTACCTCCTACCCAGACTTTATTATTATTTATAACCGACATTCTAATGACAACGCCGTTTGTATTTACCCGAGGAAATTTGCCGTTCGTATTCCGCGCACATATTCAGTATCTCCTCAAGACGAGCAGTCTCAGCCTCCTTCTGTTCTTCTTCTTTGACACGATCCTGGTAAGCCTGAAAAGAAGATACTTTTGAAGATCAACGTCACATATGACATTCTGCACATCTTCTAATATTTTAATTGAGAGTTTCTGAGGGTATTTTTAGCTTTTTCACGAGAAAACTACTGGACGGATTTTGATGAAATTTCACGTTTTTTTGTTTTGTTTTTCCTACCTATTCTAGTAACGTCGAGAGGTTATTCTAGATTCGCCGAGCTAGTAGGTGAGCTCACGGGGCTCAAAGCTGACGACGTTGCTAACACGAACCCTAGCAAGAGTCGTGCTTCGCAGAATCTACCACCGGATCGGAAACGCGACCCACTGAGAAGATCCGGCGAGAAACTCAGTGGGCTGTGTCTGTGGGTTAATTTACTCGTCGAGCCCTTCGTCGCAAGCGACGCGTTCGACGAGATCGGTGACCGGTGCTTGAGGTACCTAAAAGCACCGTTAGTGGATCGGGAGGATCCGAAATGACATGTTTTTGGGCGACGTCGACTGCTTTCCATTCGGTCCGCAGGATCGGGAATGGGTTATTTCACAACGTAACGGCTTATATATCGAAATAGGACGTAGGCGATAAGAAATTTCGTTCAAGAAAAACTATAGATAGCGCGCGATATCGTTTCAGTAATTGATGTTTTTATACAATGAAAGATATGATTTTTTACTATTCATATCTAAAATAAAGTAATTATTCAATAATCCTTTATCTGCAATTGTAGGTCACCGGTGCCCTACGCGGCGCACTGAAGTAATAATGTCGATTTCTGTTACTAAGGCGCCGGGATTGCCTTTTTTTCGACCGGGAACCGAACCTCTATAAGGTCACCGCGTCTAGGGCGTACGTGGGACTGCGAAACCGCGGGTCCAAGGATGTTTTCGGGACCCTACCCACTAAACGACTAACTTTGCCTTCTTTTATTTATTAATGTATGTTTTATGATTTTAGGTCCCTTAAAAATAGATTCATTTTCAGTATCTTCGGATTAGTTTTTCCCAGAGTCTACTAGATATTCCGGCGCTTTAGTGAGAAGATCAAAGAAATAAATCGACATAATTACTTCAGTGCGCCGCGTAGGGCACCGGTGTCCTACGTGATAGTCAAAGTGTTAAAATCTGTTTTAAGTAATCTATTCGAGTCAGCAACTGTCAGGACTAAAGTTATGAAGTTATGGTAAAGAGGGACTTCTGTAATGGGATTAGAGTTGTTATTGGTTTAAACGTCATAGGCAGGGAGAAGAACACTATTGCTTGCAGCCAAAGATGTCAAAGACGAACTTGCTGTAGCCAAAAAAAAAACGTTAAATGATTTAAGTCACGTTCATAACTCACCATACCGCAAAAGAGTTTATCGATTTTTTTAATAATATTATTGTATATTTCATTTCGAATATACAATTCGTTGAGTTGCCCGCTCCTCATGTCGTTGCCGACAACGAAAACGTTACTGTTCTGTATCGGCGAGGATATGTTTTTGAAAATCGAATTATTCTGACTGGCCACACTAAGGAGGTCCGCCATTTTTGACATCTCGTCTTTTAAGCCGTCATACGAAAGTTTGATTTGTTTCTCCAATTTAATGATCTTTCCGTCGACGGTGTTCTCGTGATTTCTCGTTTCTTTAATGTAATGATTGGTCAATATGGTGTTTATGGTACGATATATTTTAATATCGTTCCTCAGTTTGTGTACGACATCGAGTTTCTCGTTGACCGATTTCGATATATCGATTATTCTCTCGTAATTCGCGTCTCGATTGTATTTTATATCGATCGAGTATTTCAATTCTTTTAGAGCGGAAGTATTCNTGTTCTCGTGATTTCTCGTTTCTTTAATGTAATGATTGGTCAATATGGTGTTTATGGTACGATATATTTTAATATCGTTCCTCAGTTTGTGTACGACATCGAGTTTCTCGTTGACCGATTTCGATATATCGATTATTCTCTCGTAATTCGCGTCTCGATTGTATTTTATATCGATCGAGTATTTCAATTCTTTTAGAGCTGAAGTATTCTTCTTGATGTTATCAACGAACAGCCGTAACAGTTGCTTGTGCGAGGGCTCCTTTTTCGTTTTGGCGGTCATTTTGACGTTTCAATTTACGATGTTACCAGATATTCAATTCATGAATTTACTTTTTTTTTTTTCAAAATTTATTTCGTAATTCCACTGGAGTTGTCATTTAAAATTCACTTTACAATTATGTGGTAACGAAAATTACTGAGACTGACATTACAGTTTGAATTATTAAAACAGCGTTTTAAGCAATCTGTTAATTAAACTAATTATAAGTATATCACGTGGAGAATGTTTGTCTCGATTAAACGCTAATATTAGATTTATTTACGAAATCTAAGAACAATCCTCCATCAAACAATTGCCTATATATACCACATCCAGCGATACGTGGAATCGGCGGTAAATTGCTTTGATTTTCAATTCCAAAAATGTTACGGACCAACCCATATGAATGTAAATCGATTCGGATCTTTTCAATGAACGACTTCACATATCGTCTTCTCGCATTAAAACTGTATAATCTCAAAACTTACTAATTTTACAGGAGTGTTTTAAAGGTTTAACATGTGATATTTTTAATATTGATCATCTTTGCAACCTTTTTTTTATCAGTTACATTATCTGTCTTTTAAAGTAAGATAAAATTATGTATTAATTTTGTTAATAGTAGTCAAAACATAGGTAAACTAAAAAAAAAAAAAACTAAACCTAAACTATGCTCTTTTGACAGTATTCATGAGAAAAATACTGGTGATCCAAATGATTCCGCATATTGACTCGATTTCGAATATTTTTGGAAATTGTACACTTTTAATGCGAGAAGACCATATTTCAAATACACATTCACAACAGATATCCCAATCGTCTCAACGCAATCACATTTCACCGCATTCCGTTCGTTCCCATTACGCAGTCACAGTTTACACTAGCCGATGAGTTTTTTACTACTAATGTATGTGTAACCACCCTTTCTAGTTAGATAGAATCCACCAAACTGACATTCGCGTTACAGCAATCATAGCAGTGCACAAAAAAAAAAAAACAATAACTCGATCCGTCGCTGAGAGACAACCGTATACTGACAAAGCGATGAAATCAATAGCGTTTAAAAAAAAAAAAACAAAAAAGCGAAAGTTACATTGACCTTCTGTATTGAATTACGTTAAAATTTAACTGCCGAAATAAACAAAAACGGTCGCGTATATTACGCGTGAAATCGAAATTCGCTTAATGCGTTTTTTTATTTTATTACTTAGAAGGGCGGACGAGCTCACAGCCCACCTGGTGTTAAGTGGTTACTGGAGCCCATAGACATTTGCGACGTAAATGCGCCATCCACCTTGAGATATCAGTTCTAAGGTCTCGGTATAGTTACAACGGCTGCCCTGCCCTTCAAAACGAAACGCATTACTGCTTCACCGCAGAAATAGGCAGAGTGGTGGTACCTACCCGCGCGGACTCACAAGAGGTCCTACCACCAGTAAACGTCGAACGAAACTACAATTTTTTTTTAATTAAAAACTTCTGACGTAGTATTTCAAGACAAGAGACGACCGGAACGCGCGAATTGTTTCGCGGTATATTTAGGCAGAATGGTGCCTATCAATGCGAATATAAGGAGTTCTATTTTACCACACGACATTTCGCACCTTTAGAATTGAGTTGGCTTAGCTACAAATTTTAAGAAAACGATTTTTATACTTTAAGCTCCATAAATCCGTATTCTATGAGTTTGTAAAGTTATTTTATTTCAATTTAAATTGAAACTTTTGCCTAGAAAAAGGACAAAGTACACTTTCCGTCTCTTTTAAATCAAGCGTATACTTTAAACTTTAAGGTATGCGCGTTAAGGTTTAATGTATTAAAATAAAAAATCAAAACTTACATTTTTGGGGTTTACCCAAAAACACAAGAATTTTGGTCCTACCCTTCAATTAAATATTCAAATTAGCCACAAAAATTTTAAAGGTGTGTTTCTTTTTGAAAATAAAAAGCATATAAACCTACTAGATTTCAAACTATAGACGCATCTCTTGACAGGAGTAAAAGCCAGGCGTATTATCTTTTAGGCCACAACTTCATTTGTATAAACTTTTAATAAGAACTAGTGCGGGTTTATAGCAATCTACCGTCGTCTTTAACTATGATCAATTGAATCTATATATTAATACGTGAAGCAAAAACTTTGTATCCCTTTTTACGAAAATTGCGCAGACGGAGGAGTATGAAATTTTCCACTCTTATAGAGAATATAGAGAAGAAGTGCACAATGTTAATATTTTTTTTATATAATGCATAAAAGATACATTAAATCAATAAAGAAAACATTACACACACTACATACCATATATTTGACGCACACACGCATGCATACTATTTATTGTCAAACTTTTGTTCTTGACGACTGTTGTCAAATTGAGAATAGATTAAATATTGTTTGTCTTTATTAATATTTTTTTATAGTGTAGCCTTGGCGAAATTTGTGATTATAGAAGTATAAAATATAATCATAATAGTGTACAAGCTTACAATTCCAATTAATTATAGTCGAATTTCGACTACTGCGGGACCTCTAGTTTGTATAAACTTTTAATAAGAACTAGTGTTGGTTTATAGCAATCTACCGTCGTCTTTAACGATGATCAATTTAATTCAATTTAAACAACACCACGAATAATGATATTGGATGAGCTGACAGAATTTCCAAAACAATCATATAACAAGTACCGAGCGAATGTCACTTGTTCGATTGATTAATAAATAACTAGTGGTCCCGCAGTAGTCGAAATTCGACTATAATTAATTGGAATTGTAAGTTTGTACACTACACATTATGATTGTATTTTATATTTCTATAATCACAAATTTCGCCAAGACTACACTATAAAGAATATTAACAAAGACAAACAATATTTAATATAATCTCAATTTGACAACAGACTTCAAGAACAAAAGTTTGACAATAAATAGTATGCATGCGTGTGTGTGTCAGATACATGGTATGTAGTGTGTGTAATGTTTTCTTTATTGATTTAATGTATTTTTTATGCATTATTTTATAAAAATATTAGCATTGTGCACTTATTCTCTATATTCTCTATAAGTGTGGAAAATTTCATACTCCTCCGTCCGCGAATTTTTTGTAAAAAGGGATATAAAGTTTTTGCTTCACGTATTAATTAATAAATAATAGTTTAAGAAAACTAACAAAATACGCTTTCATAGAGAATCCAACTAAAAAATAGAAAATAAATTTTATAGAAAAATAGAAAATAAAAGGATATTATCAAAATAACCCTTGCACTCATATCTGTTCATAAAATATTTATAACTAGTTATACCAGGCACACCACGCTTTTGTTACAATAAACTTATTTTTTCTTACACTATTTTCAATTCAAATTTATTTTCTATCTTTAGTTGGCTTTTCTATAAAAGCGTATTTTGTTAGTTTTTTTTAAACTATTATTTATTTTAAATTTTTTAGTTGAATTTCAATTTTTCAATATATTTTTTTGATATTGAATTGTCATCGGTCCTTAATAAGTATACCAAATTTCCAGTTAATCCGACGTTTTGAAGGGGTTCAAAATTATGTTCAAAGATTCCGTTACAAACATACATACATACGTCTGAAGCTAATAAAAGCGTGTTAAAACTTCACTTTTTCGTTATCTATAATAACAATAATATACATGTGTTCTTTTCGAGCCCTCGAATTTTAGGAATTTTTAGGGAAATTCATACATGATTCACTTTTAGACACACACACACACACACACAAATTCTCTTTTACAACACTCGTTTTCCATTATCCACTGAATTATACTATAACTAATCGATTATAACTACTGTTAACTCCGATCTCATAATGCAATTAGCGTTACCACAAAAATCGATCGTAAACATAAGCCTTAAACTACAAGAATCGATGGAAGCTTTCCGAACATTAAAAGCGAAGCCACGGTCGATTGAATTTAATGTGTTATTTAAACATTCGATTTCGTGACACAGTTTTCAGTTCGAGACGCTCCACGCGATCGCATACAGTACTGCTAAATTGTGAATTGACGCAGAATATGCCTGCAGTAATAGTATTTATCTTTTACGTAAAATAATTATCATTAGATAAATGCTGTTTCCGTTTACTTTTACATATCAAACAAGAGAATTACCGTGGATTTTTTGATAAGTGCACACAGTCTATACGATTCTCGGTAGGTTTGGTTAGTTTGGGAAATTTGAGAAGTCGCATACGTTAGTGCTACACGCGTATTTGAACTCAATCACGCCACGTCAGGGTTAAATATCTTACAACTACAACTCTGGTAATCACTATCAAGTTGAAGTCGTCGTGGCCTAAAGGATAAGACGTCCGCTGCATTCGTATGTAGCGATGCAACGGTGTTAGAATCCCGCATGCGGGTAACAATTTATATAATGAAATACGCACTTAACAATTATATTCACAATTGACTTTCACGGTGAAGGAATAGCATGGTTTAATAAAAATCAATCCCACAAAATTATTGGTGTTAGGTGGGTGGCGGCATTTACGTTGTAGATGTCTATGGGCTCCAGTAACCACTTAACACCAGGTGGGCTGTGAGCTCGTCCACCCAACCTTGCAAATAAAAACGCCGTGCGCCTATTGTCCTAAAAAAGAGAACTGCAGCTTTAAAAGCGGGTGACCTCTTTAAAAACGCTGATAGTTGACTTACTGTTATTAACTAAACTGTGTACATCGCAAGGCCGACTGAAGGTCCCGTGACAGCGGGGAGGAGGGTACTTTGATAATGCAAACTCTATTTTTTATATATGATTATTTTAGCTTATAAACAAACGTTATCGTGTATTTTTGTATTTTATTTGAACTGTGTTTTGCGTGTCTCTTTGCTATTAGAAGGCGGCTTTGACCTGGTAAATTAAGTTATAGAGTGGAACAACCATAGAGGTTTTAGTCCAAAAAATTTTTTTTGCCCTTGTAGGCAGACGAGCATACGACCAACCTGATAGTGAGTGGTTACCGTCGCCCATGGACTTCAGCAATGCCAGGGGCAGAGCCAAGCCGCTGCCTACCGCTTAATACTCTCCAAAAGCCTCGTTTGAAGAAGGACATTTCATAGCGCTCGGGAAACACCGTGGAGGGGAGCTCATTCCATAGCCGGATGGTACGTGGCAAAAAAGATCTCTGGAAACGCACTGTGGATCACCGCAGTGGCTCCAGGTAGTATGGATGAACTCTACTCCGGTGGCGGGCGGTGCGATGGTAAAAACGATATCATCTCGAAAAGTTAAATATGAATTCCAAATCAAATTTAATATGAATTTAACTGAACTAACCTAATGATTGCATGCAGCAGAGATGCGAATGTTGCGATGGATGTGTGGAGTAAAGAGAATGGATAGAATACGGAATGAATACGTTAGAGGAAGTCTGAAAGTGGCACCTGTCACAGAGAAGCTGAGAAGTGCGCGTTTGGGATGGTATGGACATGTGATGAGACGAAATGAAAATGAGGTTGGTAAGAGAGTGTTAGCTATGAATGTGGAAAGATATAGAGGAAGAGGTAGACTTAAGAAGAAATAGATGGATTGCGTGAAAGACGATATGTGTAAGATGGGAGTGAGTGAAGAAATTGTATATGATAGAGGAGTATGGAAGGAGAAGACATGTTGCGCCGACCCCAGGTGACTGGGAGAAGAGCAGGAGAATGATGATGAACTTAAATAACCTAATGACCTAACTAACCTACTTAGAAGAATAAATGAATTTGCCGACAAAAATAATCGAGCACTATACGCTAGTAGACTCATAGAAGATCATTTTTATGAGAACGTAGAGTATGTATTAATGTTCATTGAGGTCAACTTTGGTTTATACTTTAAATAAATAATTGTAAATAAAATATCATTTAACTCAAATTAAACAAAATCAAATGAAGTTGATATTTTTTTTTTGCTGGCTCATCATAATTGGGTCTTTCCTCGAGTTACCTGCTGGGAGACAATGTACTCCATGGGTTTTGTCTACAGACATGAATAACGGTACCCACTTAAAGACATAAGATCGAAGTTTCGGTTGCATTGCTGGCGGTTATTCAAATCGGAGCTGATAGTTTGGCAGAAATGGACAGGATGGTGGTTCCCACCCGTGCGGACTCAAAATAAGCTAAGACATAACATCGTTGTTACTACTGAAGAGCTCAAGGAATAAAATATCAGCTAAAGTTAGCCGCCGTCTTGGGTTCTTGTACTGATCATATGCCAGACAGACGTAGGATCCTTCAACCTGATGGAATATTTTTAGATTTTCTGTATATATAATCTTTATAAACCATATATACAGTTTTTACGGGCGGTAGGGCATTTTGTGAGTCTACACGGATAGGTACTACCGTCTTTCCCATTTCTGTTTGTAAGACAATACCGCGTTTCGGTTCGAAGGCTGGGGGCAGATTTTGTGCTACAAAAACGGTGACTTAGAACTCATGTCTCAAGTTAAAAGAAACCAAAAAAAACCCAAAGGAAAAACAAGATTATTTTGTACTGGTGGTAGAACCTCTTGTGAGTCCGCGCGGGTAAGTACCACCACCCTGCCTATTTCAGCCGTGAAGCAGTAATTCGTTTCGGTTTGAAGGGCGGGACAGCCGTTGTAACTATACTGAGACCTTAGAGCTTATCTCTCAAGGTGGGTGGCGCATTTACGTTGTAGATGTCTATGGGCTCCAGTAACCACTTAACACCAGGTGAACTGTGAGCTCATACACCAATATAAACAAAAAAAAAAACAAGAATTACCTTAATTCTCCGGTTTTCGGCTTCGAAGCTCCTGTCGTAGTGATTGTTTGTGTACACCGGAGAATACTGGGGGTTCCTATCGAACGCTGGCGACGACAAACAAACAACCTTCCCTACGCTCCCGAACCTCTCATTGAACTCCACCTCACCATTGATCTTCCCATAACCATCACTGTAACTGTCCTCAAAGCCTTTAACAGTTTCGTGTAGTTTCATTTTATTTCTGATGGCAACATTCGTGTACGTCTTATCTGTCGCCTCGTCTTTCTTCATGTAGTTTGGCAACACTTTGTCGCCTAAGACGTCTTTGGCTGGCGTGTTGACTGTTAACGAGTTGGCGCTGAACACTTTTGGCGAGATCTCATTCTCGTTTGACGTGTAGAACTGGCTGCGTCCGACTTTCTGCTGTTTGGCGTAGTATTCGAACTTTGATACTTTGCTCTTGATGTTCGAAGGTTTGGAGCGTTCTTGATCCGAATTCGAGTCATCTTGGTCCTTGAATAGCTTCTTGGGAACTGCAGGGGGCTTTCTCTTCGATAGTTCTTTTAGTGTTAAATCTAGTTCTTGGTCCAATTGCGTCAGCGAGACGTCTTTGTATACGTTCTGGTAGCGTTGCTCTGTGGTGCAATAGCCTGTAGACAGATCAGTAGTTGACCATGTTAATAACTTAGGTCTATATAAAAACATTTACTCCTACAGTCGCTTTTTGCATTCGGCCATATTAGGCTGAAACATGATAGTATTGTTGTTGGCAAGAATTCTATTTCCCTTAGTATCATTAAAGTTCGCAAGAGGTCTCAATAAGTCTGTTTTCTGTAGATTTGGCGTCAGCTACAGAAAAGCGTGATCGCGGTTTACCGCTATTTAATTCCTTTTTTTATTTTTTTATTTTCCTACCTAAGCTGATAGCCTTGAGAGGCTATTTCAGCGTAACCTTAACTAGTAGGTGAGCTCACGGAGCTCAAACCTGACGATGTCGCTAACACGACTCCTAGCAAGAGCCGTGCTTCGCAGAATCTACCACTGGATCGGAAACACGACCCACTGCGAAGATGCGGCGAGAAACTCAGTGGGCTATGTCTACGGGTTAATTTACTCGTCGAGCCCTTCGTTGCAAGCGACGGGTTCGACGAGAACGATGACCGGTGCTTGAGGTACCTAAAAGCACTGTTAGTGGATCAGGAGGATCCGAAATGACGTGTTTCGGGCGACGTCGACTGCTTTCCATTCTGTCCGCAGGATGGGGAATGATTTAATTCCAATAACCGTGGGTTCTATCGCAGATATGATCCTAATTTAAACGTTTTTGTTTACTAACTTTTGCTATGAACGTAACAGCTATTTAACATCGACGATTCTTGAAGTTGGCCATATCGTTTTAGTTCCGACCAAAGAAATAACTCCACCTAACTACCGAGTTAACTGACCTGTGGTGATACATTCCTCGTTGGGCTGGTATTGGATCGGGGGCATCGAAATATGTCCCGAAGGCAGGACGGATTTCATCAGTTTCGCCTCAGCCGGGTGATTGAATCTGAGGTAGTTTGAGCGACCTATGGTCAGCATGCTGCCTGAAAGTTTTGTATAATGCTTTTTTTTTCCACAAAAACAACCCGCCTACTAGGAATCTTAAAGACAAGATCTCTATTCTCTATTAACTCATATACAGGGTGTCCCAGAAAGAATGGATAGTCCTGAAACACCTCTTAGTAGTTAAACTGATTTAAATTAATAGTTAAATTAATTTAAGATTAACTTTTATAAAAAAATACATTAGCTACTCATACAATTTCCTGCATATTCCTTATCCATTCCTTCTGGGAAACCCTGTATACACATATATACACGGTTCTTGATTCAATCAATTGAACAATAACAATGTAGATTAATGTAACCTATTATGACTAACATCTTCTTTGAAAATCGTATATAAATAAGCAGAACATTAAATTCATAAAATACACACTTAGATCAAATGTCCGAATATTTCTGACGTTATTTCAAATCCTTGAAGAGTGATAAGATTTACTTTATGTGATTTCGCAAGGACATGGTATTTTATAGCCTGGACAAGTCTAAACTGTTGTATACATACAGGTCGATACATAAGAATCAATACTACTTTTTTAAGAACTTCATATTCTCAGTTTAGCTTACCAGCATTTTTGAAATCACAAACAAAAAGTCTGACTCTTTATTTGGTATCGGGCTTTTTTAGAAATTGATTATTTCCAAACTCATTAGACACGGATTTTTCACTTGTATCAGTGTGGTTCTGAGGTATAGGTACATATATTAATATAATTATACTATTATCATCGATTCTTAGATGAGTTTCTATTTAATCAGACCTTCGGTGATTAAAAAACATGATCAAACATCACGTTACATACAATGTATGCAAACGAAGCTAATAAAAGTGCATTAAAAATCTTTGATTGTCTATGATCTAAGCCTTCGAAGATACTCTTGAAACTTGACACACTTAATGGTTTCACTTCTGGGTTATGGGGCCGATATTTCATCAGCTATGCCTTGGAGATGCTTACTAGAAAAGAACTACAGACCCTGAGACAGTCTCGTAGGCTTCTCCACGGGTAGACCATCCAGTAGCGTGCTTCCACTGATTGGATACAATGTGACCACGCCGTGAGAGTTTTCCACGCGACAGTGCACGCTCGCCACGCCTGTCCCCATGACGTAAATGTCGCATGTCGGATCAGAACCTATTGTCACGCGACCTGGAACCAGGGTTAGATTCTTTTTAACTTTTTGACGCCGACCACCGCAAGCTATTTGGATTAATTTTGTCTAAAGGATAAGACACCCGCTGACACCAAGCAATGCGACTATATTTTTTTTATTGCCTTTTTAGACAGACAAGCATACGGCCCACCTGATAGAAAGTGGTTACCGTCGATCATGGACGTAAGCCATGCCAGGGGCAGAGCCGAGCCGCTGCCTACCATTAAGGTCTTTCCGCAAGCCTTGTTTGAAGGAATGGAAGATGTTTGAAAGGACTATGGCTGTGTTCGAATTCCGCTGGCTCTTTCTTCTGATCATACACGTACTTAGGACGTTTTCACGCAGCGTTTATAAATTGCGCCATTATTTGTAGTATTTTGAGAGTAGGTATACAATTAGATACCGGCAATGCTTTCCAGTTTCAAATTATTACACACAAGACCTCATGTCTGTAAGTGGTTAGCGGCATGTAGTTGATGATGCATTTGGCTCTGGTAACCATTTAGCACTAGACCGCCGTGGACATAAATCTGCACAGTCAAAAATAAATCAAAAACCCAGCTTCTGGTGCCACTACACTTGTAAGTTTAAATCACCATTCAGAGCCCCTAACTTTACTAAGGGTAGTAACGGTCCAATGGTTTTTTTTATTCCTTAGATGTGTGGAAGAGCTCACAGCCCACCTGGTGTTAAGTGGTTACTGGAGCCCATAGAGATCTACAACGTAAATGCGCCACCCACCTTGAGATATAAGTTCTAAGGTCTCACTATAGTTACAACGGCTGCCCCGCCCTTCAAACAGAAACGCATCACTGCTTCACTGCAGAAATAGGCAGTGGTATCTACCCGTGCGGACTCACAAGAGGTCCTACCACCAGTAATTCTTATGTTTACCTTGCTTAATGGGATGTAGAGTGACAGCTGTGCTCAGTCTTCCAGTACCGAGGCTCACCAGATGAGGAGTGTTTGTTGCTACCCTGGAATCAAAAACGAAGGTTTTTTTAATGGAAGAATGAGTGAAGTTTATTTACTGAGATTCTTTTTAAGGGATATATGTTTACAATTTGTAAATATTCCGTCGATTTTTATTTACACTACGTATTGGCTGGCTGGTAGTTTGAAAGACTATTCAATGTACGCCCGGAGGGGATCATTCCGTCATCATGAAAGTGTGTACTTCCTTGGAAAAAAATGGTACATGTTTGCGGAATATACATAAATTAATACGTGAAGCAAAAACTTTGTACTCCTTATTACGAAAATTACGCGGACGTAGGATTATGAAATTTCTTACACTTATAGAGGATATAGAGAAGGAGTGCAGAATGCTAATATTTTTTGTAAATTGTGCATTTATAATACATAAAATCAATAAAAAAAACACTACACACACTACCATGTATTTGACAACACACACACACACACACACCTATATAATATATAATCTTTGTTTTATATTCAAACTTTTGTTATTGCATACAGTCTGTGATCAAATTAAGAATAGTTTAATATTGTTTGTCTTTAATATTATTTGTCTATAGTGTAGGTAGTCTTGGCGAAATCTGTGATTATAGAAGTAAGTATAATAGTTTTTGACAATAGAACCTTAATAATGTTCAAATTTACAATTTAAATTATTATAGTCTAATTTTGACTATTGCGGTACCACTTGTATACATAAACAGCTGTATGTATATATAACTATAGTCCACAATATATAACTATATAAGTATGTAACTATACTGAGACCTTAGAACTCATATCTCAAAATGGATGGCGGCATTTACGTTGTAGATGTCTATAGGCTCAAGTAACCACTTAACACCACGTGGGCTGTGAGCTCGTCCACCCAACTAAAGCAATATACAAAAAAAGTATATTCGCATCGTCTTCAGATAACATTGGGTATATATCGATCGATGCCTTAATGACTAATTTCGATTTAATTATCGACACGGATGATACATAGTCCATAGCTTTTCCTACATAATCACCAATAGTCTCGAAGACCTGATTCGTTTGCACCGAATCGGTGGCCGACCTCACGGGATCCGGTACAAGCGAGACTGGTTCGTTGAGCTCACCGACCACTAAAGCTTATACGTGAATGTAGATAAGTCGGAAACCTGTTTGGGTCCCGATTAAAAATCAGCGAAGCGGGCATCTGAGCCGGACCGCCAGTTGGACATCGAATAAAATTGTTAGTACACGCAAGGCTCGGATACCAAGTGAAAATATTTAACCAGCTCATTACAAATGAATGAACTAAAAAATCATCAGAAATCATCAAGTCATCATTAGAAATCATCAAGAAAGTATTAGTTCAAGTTCAATTCTTCGGTAGGCAGCGGCTTGGCTCTGCCCCTGGCATTGCGGAAGTCCATGGGCGACGGTAACCACTCACCATCATGTGGGCCGTATGCTCGTCTGCCTACAAGGGCAATAAAAAATACTCAAATGGATGAAATTACAACAGATCATTTTATTTATTAGGCACACATTACACATCACAAGCTTAGAAGATACATAAAAAAATAAGAACAAGTAAAAAAAAACCAAATCTGGCTTGCAACATAAGCCATGTGCGCACGACTAAGCAAGACAAATGTGCTGAATCTGTACACAACGGTGGAAAAGTAATTTCACTAATAATGTAAGGAAATAATTTTGAAAACATTTAAAACAGAGCCGTAACATTACGATTCCGCTCACCCGAAATCGGTATTATATTATATTTGAGTTCTGATCTGATCTGAAATTTACAACGCAAATGCCGCCACCCACCTTGAGATATGAGCTGTAATCTCTCAGTATAGTTACGGCATTACTGCTTCACGACAGAAATAAGTAGGGCGGTGGTACCTACTCGTGCGGACTCACAAGACGTCCTATCACCAGTAATTACGCAAAATATAATTTTGAGGGTTTGATTTTTATTACACGATGTTATTCCTTCACCGCGGAAGTCAATCGTGAACATTTGTTGGGTACGTATTTCATTAGAAAAATTGGTACCCGCCTGCGGGATTCGAACACCGTTGCAACGCTAGAGACACGAATGCATCGGACGTCTTATCCTTTAGGCCACGAAGACTTCTCCATATTATAGCACTAATTTACTATAAAACTAAAACTTAGAAGTCATGTCTCAAAGTGGACGGAATTTGCGTTGTTGATATCTATAGGTTCCGGTAACCACTTAACATCAGATGGATCGTGAGCTCGTCCAACTGTCCTAGCAATAAAAAAACTCCCCACATAAGGAATGCATGCGTACAGTCGATGTGTAGGTGCATTTAACCCGCGACCTCTCCTAGTTGATGTCAGCGACTTAGGTCATTGCAAGGGACCAAGTCTATTTTAGGAACATTCCTAACGTGCTTTTTGTTCTATTTGCAGCGAATCGTGTACGGTCGCCATGTTAATAGATCGACTGTGGATTTAGAAGGAAAAATGTTTGGCCACTATACGTTCCTAAACCATTCACCCGATTGTGTTGAAACTTCAAGTCCCTAATCGCGAGTAAACTCCTGAGATAAACTTCCCTACCTATGCTAATAGACTTGAGAGGCTATTTCAGCTTCTCCTTGGCGTGTAGGTGAGCTCACGGGGCTTAAACTGGGAGTGTTATTAACATTGGCGCTAGCAAAAGCAGTGCTTCGCAGAATCTACCACCAGATCGAAAACACGACCCACTGAGAAGATCCGGCGAGAAACTCAGTGGGCTGTGTCGAGCCCTTCGTCGCAAGCGACGGGTTCGACGAGGACGGTGACCGGGCGCAGCCGTAAACCTTGGACAGTGGTAGTGGAAATGGCCTTCCTGACTAAGCTCTTGCTCGCTCACCTGTCCTTGTGAAACTGGAAAGGCCTCCGGGTCACCAGTAATGCCTCAATCATAAAAAAATAATCTGAAACTTAATTGCTGTTGGTACTCTTGTGAAGGTTTTTGATGCAGTATTATAAACATACATAAGGTGGCGTTGCGAGTATTTTCAAGACAATTTTTTTCATGCTATTAGCAATAGAATGTTTATGTTAAAGCAGTGTATCAGTTCAGTTATGTTTAGAGAACACTCCGCCTACACCCTGTATTTTGGTTTATAAAAAAAAAGGTTAGATTTATTGCTTGATACATTACAAATGTTATTCGGGGGGTTGGTGTATTGGTGAAAATGAAAATGTAATTACATCAACAACTGCTTATTCGATTCCCGGCTGGAGTCATCAGTATCTTTGATCTAGGCATTTGCTATACGAAGATTTTACATACCTAATTGTTTTAACGAGACATATCACCCGAAATCATTTTATTAAAACAATGGTAACGTCATTTTCGAATTTAAATAACAAAATATAGGCGAAATTTAACATAATTTCGTGCACAAAGGTGGAAAAGATAGCTTATTTGCAAGCAAATTTCACGGTATGGCAACGTTTCATAGATCTCTCTCTCTCTCTCTCTCTCTATCTCTCACTATCTCTCTCTATCTCTCACTATCTCTCTCTATCTCTCTAATTTTCGTGAGCGACACCACAATATAAGCGTAGAAACATTCAGGGAAACCCATATCGCCATCTTCTGGGTCGTTTTCAATTTTGCGGCCAAACAAGTGACGATTTCATGAATTTCAACTTTCTCAAATTTCTCGTTTTTTCTTGTATTTAGGCATGTTCAGAATAAAAAAGGGCTTCATCACAATCAAGTAAATCACTCATCTATTAATAATATTATATAATATTCATTTATATATTTCATTTTACGCATTTGATAACGCCAAAACAGATGACAATTTAAATAGAAACTTTTTTAAAAGCTTAGAAATCGTAATTCTTTTGTTTTTAATAATATTCTAATATGCGGTTAGTTTTCCTTTATTATTGTATTAAATACTGATTAAATAAAACTAGAGGTCCCGCAGTAGTCGGAATTCGACTATAATTAATTGGAATTGTAAGTTTGTACCCTATTATGATTGTATTTTATACTTCTATAATCACAAATTTTGCCAAGACTACAACACTATAAAAAATATTAACAAAGACAAACCATATTCTATTCTCAATTTGACAACAGACGTCAAGAACAAAAGTTTGACAACAAATAGTATGCATGCGTGTGTGCGTCAAATACACGGTATGTAGTGTGTGTAATGTTTTCTTTATTGATTTAATGTATCTTTTATGCATTATTTTAAAAAAATATTAGCATTGTGCACTTCTTCTCTAAATTCTCTATAAGTGTGGAAAATTTCATACTCCTCCGTCCGCGCAATTTTCGTAAAAGGGGATACAAAGTTTTTGCTTCACGTATTAATATATAGATAACTCGCTTTTGGTCCCAAATTTGAAAACGACCTTAGTATCTATGGGTTACGAAGTTTCATCAAAAACGAAATTCATGGTCACCCTACGGACAGTTTTTCGTTTCTTTTGTAAACACATTAGCACCACGAGGATATGTGAGTTACGTTTATTTATTTCTCCTTTCATCAGCGCACGACGAGTTCACAAATGATGTATTATTTATACAAATAAAACTGAGCAGACTTCAAAATAGGTGGTGCTTTACACTAAAGAACTTTGCTGCCTAATTTTAGGTGCTCATAATGGGTTGGTAGTATCATCTCAGAGCGGAGCAGTCGTGGTCATGTGGAATCTTTGTTTATTAAAGCCTTGACAGCTGGTTCTTCATAGTTCGCGGATTGAGCCGTGGCGCAAACTCTCGCTTATTACTGAGGCGTGATATACCCGTGGTCTGCACGTGTAGGTACCAACTCCCCGCCTATTTTTGCCGTGAAGCAGTAATGCGTTTCGGTGTGACGGGCGGAGCAGCCGTTGTAACTATACTGAGACCTTAGAACTTATATTTCAAGGTAGGTGGCAGCATTTACTTTGTAGACGTCTATGGGCTCCCTTACCAGCCATTGCTAAATAGGATATCCTTCACACATCTGACAAGTCCCTAGAGTGTTCTCTA